CGTGTTTCCTACTCGGAATGACCCAGGTTGGGTTTGTTCACCACTTGAATGTCACAGCCTTCAAACCTTCACCTCAGCACAGTTCATTCTTCATTGCAAGGCCCGCAGGCCACTGGCGGCCCCCGATGGGCCTTTAGCGCGGTCCTCTGACATGCGCTCCCCCCTGACAATACACAAATGTGAAAACACCCCTCCCCCCAATCATCATCATGCTGCTGTCAACCCCAACTGTAATTTCAAATGTGTGGCCGCCCTCCTCAAAGATTACACTGGTCAACACACTTTGTCTGGCATGAGGTATTCCAACGGTTTTAAGGTAATTTTGGGGTGCTGATTCCAAATCTGGCATCCGTTTTTGTCTATCCCATGAGGTTTTTGAGATATCAAAGATTGCATTTTCAATAAAACTGCAGAAGAAAAATATTAAATAAATGTGGATATCTACATAAAATGATATTATAACACACTATCCTAAAATACAGCACCATATTAACACTAAAGCAGTCACTGACTCGCAACAACTTGCAATCATAAGTGACAGAGTTAATTTCGGGTAAAATCAATGAAAATGGGGTATGCCGATAGCATAAAAAATTAACCCGTAAAAACAAAGTTTTTCACTATAAATCCTTTATATGCGTGGCATCGGGGCGGCTAGAGTCCTCTCGTCCTCTGGCTTGAGATGGCTGCCACCTATGGGTCAGATGATTGTCTGCCACCATTAAATAATTGGTAATTAAATATTTAAATTTTTCCCTAAACAGTGTAAAATTTTGGAAAAATTTTTTCACGAAGATGCATTGTCACGCACGAGTCTGTGTGCAAAATGTCAGCTCGATTGGATCACGGGAAGTGGGTTAAAAAACGACCGAAAGAATTGCACGGTCCTAAGCAAGCAAGCGAACTTAATATAAAGGATTTAAAAATGAGATGTGATTGAGCAAATCTGAGATCAGATTTGGAATCAGCACCCTGAAATTAGTCTAGAACAGCTGCAAAAGTCCAGGCCAGAAAAACATGCTGTGTTGTTGTTGTTGACCAGTGTTAACAGCGAAAGTGTCCACCCCCCCCACCTCCTCTCTGAAAATTTATGAAAAGCAGCGACTTAAAACTGAACACCCAAAACATTTTAACTGTTTTGGCTAAAAGTCTCCACCCTGGCTACCATTTCGCCAAGAACAATGGAACGTAGAACAACGTCGCTCAAAACAAACTCCGATTCTCTTTTAATCCTCCGATTCAGAAGTGGTGTCGACATCTGGACCCTCAAACCAGTCAAAGGGTGAGTGTCGCCGTTTTGCAGGAAGCTTGATGGAAGGTGATGCAGAGGCCATCTTCCCTTGTTTGATCTTTGCTGTCAACGTGGTTTTTCTTGAGAACTCAATCGCCTGTAACAAATGAACACATCGAAGACAATTGGGCATCGTCAAGAGTCTAAAGTGGTCCTCCTGCTCAAGTGAGCATGGCTTGGTGTTCGTCTCTCGTGACGAGGTGCACGGCTCCTGCGGTGGATCGTGAGAGATGGCGATTGCGCGGGGAGGTCTTCGTCCGGAAGTGGAATGATTGTGGCCGATGAAGTCTCAATGCCACAAAAACAAGAATGTGAACGTGAAAACGAGGGCTCAAAACATCTGACACGAACACAATATTATTGTAAACATTAAACAGCATTTACATAAGAGGGGGGGGGGGGGGAGCACTCAAAAGCTCCACACTGATAGAGTCAAGAATCCATGGCTACACTGCCATCTCCTGACCACCTCGTAGGCCAAGCCTGGCAGTCCCCGGCAGTCTCTCACCAACTCAACCCTGCGTCGTGTCTGAGATCTACGCTCATCAGTGGGCTCATTGCAGATTGGTCAAAACAGTTGGCTTGAACGGGTGGGGTGACCAATCAGGTGATTGGCATTGATGCCGCTACACGTGGACTGGGAATGAGAGCAACCGCCAGAAGAAATGCAGCGAGACACGTGGGAAAGAGAAGAAGTCACGTCACTGCAGGCAGAAGGAGCTCTGGTGGGAGTTCTACAGAGGGTGACCGCTGTACACGGCGTCTTGGAGGATGGTGGGAATACACCCGCAACTTGACCCCAGCACACACAAGCAGGCGAGCAATGAAACGGTGCGCCCATTTATAGAGAATGAGAAGATGTATTGATACTGGAGGAATGCGATGAGATATGAAGCTGTTTTTCACAGATGTCCAGTACTATTAACTTTGTATTTTTATATGACCAGGTGAGGCCCACTGAGCTGTATAGCTCTTGTTCAGAAGTGTACTGGCCACAAATGACAGCTCAACTAAGTGGCCTATCACGAGGACATGTATAGCAGCCAAACGTGGACGGGAAAATCGGAGAACCTGGAGAAAAATCCACGCGACCACGGGGAAACCTCCTGTATGCCAGGTGAGGTCGTTCACATTTCACAACAACAAACAATACAAAAACACAATAGGAGCGCAAAGTGTAGGGAAGGTAAAACGTTTTTTTTTTAAATAAAAAAAAACCTAAACCATTTTTTTCTTAATTGTTTTTTTTACCCTTCTATCTGGCAACAAAAGTGACACCTTTTTTACGAGGAGCCATGTTTGCATAGACCACAATACCTGCAGTCGGAATGCAAACAAAAAACACAACTCTGATAATGCATGCACTGTCCTTGAAGTTGATTGGTCCACACCTGAGACAGCTTTCCTTAGAGCCTAGTCTCACATGGTGTTGGACCAGATGACGCCAAAAGGCGCACAACTCAAAGACAATGCACCATCAGAGTATGAGAGCTCGGGGTAAAGCATTTACACCATTGGAACCTCATTTATAAGGAGTCATGTTTGCATTGACCACAATACCTGCAGTCATAATGCAAACAAAAAACACAACTCTGATAATGTATGCACTGTCCTTGAAGTAGATGTTTATCTTACCAGGCAAGGCCCACTAAACCATCAGCTTCTCTTACAGAAGCGTCCCGGCCACAAGCGCGAGCAGCTCTACGAAGCGGCTCACCACGTGAAAGATTGTTGAAGAGCAACAATGATATTTTGGAGTAAGAGAAAAAAGTGCGTGACATCATCATCATCAGCATTGTTTAACCTGCCGCGCCGGGAGATCAAACGGCACTGCGAGTCTGGTGCACTCACCGTCTTGACACGCGTGACAACGACGGCAGATCTCATCTTGCCTGCTGCCCTGGCCTGCTCAGTTCGCTTGGACGGCATCACGCCCGACACACTTGCTAGCAGCTCTTCGTCGACCTAACGTATAAACGTGAATATCAATGGAACAAAATCACGCAAAGATCCTGCAATTTAAAACATTTATTCGGCCTTGCCGGAATACGAGTGCATTGTACGAGCAAATCGAAATTAGCATTTTTTTTTATTTTGGGAATTCAGAAACCCGTCCCTTGGTCACGGGCATGCTTTGTGAGCACTCTCCGTCTCTGGCACATTCATCCTACGTTCATTGAACAAATGCTCCAAGCTCGTCAAGATGTTTATTCTACCTTCCCACATCCAGTGACCCTTTGAATCTGATTGATGGTGATGGAGACTCGCATTAAACTGCAGAAGTGATTTTAGTTTTTAAATTGTAAATTTTTTGTTTAATGTTATTGTCAAATGAATGGCTTAGATTACAATGACATAGTTTATTAGATTACAGCAATTATTTAATTATCTGGGAAAAACTCTCCCGCCAGTTGGTCGAGCTCTGAGTTTCACAGCGCACCACACATTAGGAGAATGCTTCTATCCAGCGTGAACATCCACACATGACCCAATCATCCCTAGCGCTCAAGCGAGCCGCTTTGTCCCTACGAGAGTGGATCGAGTCCCATTGCATCGTCCAAAGAATTTCAATCAAAGCAGTCGCATTACTCACCAAGAAATCCATGCTGTCCGAGCCCTTGGAGTCCGACAGATGCAAAACTTTTAGCTTTTTCTTCACGACCTCCCCCGTGGCAAGGGGCTTGGGGATGCCGCCCTTGTAAGGCGACTTGGCCACTGTCACCGGTGCGAGCAAAGGTGGAGTCTTGCAGATCGCACGAACACACAAACAGAGATCCCCCAGTTAGGCCTGCAGGCTTGCGGGAGTGCCGTGCTGATTGCAAACACCTAACGTCAGCGCTTAGCCCAGCGGGGTTTATTGAACGAGCCTGACTGATGACTAAGACCCAGGAGGTAAAAACTGTTTTTTTTTACCCTTTTATCTGGCAACAAAACTGACACCTTTTTTACGAGGAGCCATGTTTGCATTGACCACAATACCTGCAGTCATAATGCAAACAAAAAACACAACTCTGATAATGTATGCACCGTCCTTGAAGTTGATGTTCATCTTACCAGGCAAGGCCCACTAAACCATCAGCTTCTCTTACAGAAGCGTCCCGGCCACAAGCGCGAGCAGCTCTACGAAGCGGCTCACCACGTGAAAGATTGTTGAAGAGCAACAATGATATTTTGGAGTAAGAGAAAAAAGTGCGTGACATCATCATCATCTGCAGTCACGAAAGCTTTAAATCGAAATTTAACCGCCTCTACGGGGAGGGTTTCCACATAACTTTGAGATCCTTCAACAAGCTCCGTGATAAGAAGGCTCAGCTAATTGAGTCTCTCACCTTTCTGAAGAGATGCCGCGACTCTAAGGTAATACCAAACGCTTTTACACTAACATCTGCTGCTGTAACTTCTTCTAGTTGAGTAACTGCAGCTACATATCATTAACATTCCTTTCCTTTGTTACTGCTAATCCCTGCACCCCCCCCTTGGTGCTGTTGATCCTGCATAATGCATGGGCATAATATGACTTTGAAACCCCCCCGCCCACCTCCTACGTATTTTCCATGAATATGCTAAATTCCTCTTCATATGCACATTCTTTTGTTAAGGCGCTCTTCTTCCACCTCCAACGCAGCTTATATATAAGCTCCTAGCTTGGCAGTGTCTCATTCTTCACCTGAAGACGGCTGCTTGCGTTGTAGCCGAAACGTCGTGAGAATTATTTTATTTTATTATGTTTTATTTTTATTATTTTATTACTTCCCTTCTACGTGACTTTACCGAAAGAACCAAGAAGATCATCATCATCATCAGCATTGTTTAACCTGCCGCGCCGGGAGATCAAACGGCACTGCGAGTCTGGTGCACTCACCGTCTTGACACGCGTGACAACGACGGCAGATCTCATCTTGCCTGCTGCCCTGGCCTGCTCAGTTCGCTTGGACGGCATCACGCCCGACACACTTGCGAGCAGCTCTTCGTCGACCTAGCGTATAAACGTGAATATCAATGAACACAAAATCACGCAAAGATCCTGCAATTTAAAACATTTATTCGGCCTTGCCGGAATACGAGTGCATTGTACGAGCAAATCGACATTTGCATTTTTTTATTTTGGGAATTCAGAAACCCGTCCCTTGGTCACGGGCATGCTTTGTGAGCACTCTCCGTCTCTGGCACATCCATCCTACGTTCATTGAACAAATGCTCCAAGCTCGTCAAGACGTCTATTCCACCTTCCCACATCCAGTGACCCTTTGAATCTGATTGATGGTGATGGAGACTCGCATTAAACTGCAGAAGTGATTTTAGTTTTTAAATTGTAAATTTTTTGTTTAATGTTATTGTCAAATGAATGGCTTAGATTACAATGACATAGTTTATTAGATTACAGCAATTATTTAATTATCTGCGGAAAAACTCTCCCCCCAGTTGGTCGAGCTCTGAGTTTCACAGCGCACCGCACATTAGGAGAATGCTTCTATCCAGCCGTGAACATCCACACATGACCCAATCATCCCTAGCGCTCAAGCGAGCCGCTTTGTCCCTACGAGAGTGGATCGAGTCCCATTGCATCGTCCAAAGAATTTCAATCAAAGCAGTCGCATTACTCACCGTAAAATCCATGCTGTCCGAGCCCTCGGAGTCCGACAGATGCAAAACTTTTCGCTTTTTCTTCACGACCTCCCCCGTGGCAAGGGGCTTGCGGATGCCGCCCTTGTAAGGCGACTTGGCCACTGTCACCGGTGCGAGCAAAGGTGGAGTCTTGCAGATCGCACGGACACACAAACAGAGATCCCCCAGTTAGGCCTGCAGGCTTGCGGGAGTGCCGTGCTGATCGCAAACACCTAACGTCAGCGCTTAGCCCAGCGGGGTTCATTGAACAAGCCTGACTGATGACTAAGACTCAGGAGGTAAAAACTGGTCCAGATCTTGGTAGCTTGGATGAATACTGCTGAATAATATTGGTCTGGAATGCCAAAAGGCTGATGGCAAATACAAATGATGTGTGTACATGTGTAAACACAGAATGGAGGTGTGTGTACATACATTGTTACCCATAAGGTTCCACAATGAAACACGAGTCTGAATAGATCATCAATTTCATGTGTGTGTTGCAGAGATGTCGCAGACACTAGACCACGTGGATTTTCAACGAAGAGTGCCGAGTTTTAAAAGTGCCGAGTCTGGGGGCCCCGTCATAAGAATGTGGAATATCCACTCGTGGCTTTGGGAGCGAGCCTCCTCACGCATGCCTGGCCAGCGCAGCGCACGAGGGGGGTTGCTGTGGCCAGCACCCCCAGTGCTGACGTGGACACACTCGGCCAGGCACTGTGCGTCAACACAAGGTCCACCGTTTGATTGTCAGGACCATGTAAGATAGTGTATTGTGAGGATGTATCCGGCTCAATGACGTATCACGACTCGTCACGGTGATTGGCTCTGCCGGTCCTGGTCCATAGCCAATGGGGGGAAGCCGAGTGGCGTGGCCCTGACGTGATGGAAAGGTGACAGCTGTAAGTAGGGGTACAGGTAGGGTACGGGTAGCCGTTTGCAACCCTGGTGCGGCCGGGTACGGGTAAGGAATCAAAACCCGTTTGCGACCTCTGCTCTACGTACCGTGTGAGCTGTGGAGGTGTTACTGCTGCTGGCTTGCGTACGATGGTAAGGTTCACGGCTGCTCTGGCAGGGATAGGCGCTGGGTTCGTGAGAACCCCCGCTTGGGTTCAACAGGTCATCCACATTGCCGTCATCCGAGATGTAAAACCTGTCTCGATCTCCATTGGAGAATACTGCCAAGGGTGGGATTGGCGGTGGTAAAATGTTCAAAGTTCAGTTGAAATTAATACAGTATGCGGTATACAGGCACACGTACGCCAGCCCGTTGAGATTCGCATGTAATTCATATAAAGTATCCTGCCTATGAGCTACAAGGCATTACATTCCAAAGACTTAATTCTATGGGAATTCAAATGTTCAAACTGAAAAATATTTGGTCATTGGCTGTTGGTGACAAGGTCCACAAACAGCAAACATGAATTTAAATGACGTACACTGGAAAGCATTTCCACAAAGCATGTATACAAACTTCCAGCAAATCTCATGCATTGTAAGACTTCAAATGCCTCCTATGTGAATGTGACTCAAACACAACCACATTCTTATTCACAAAGAAACCACAAGTGTTTGTCAACTTTAATATTTTTTTTACAATTATGTTTTTTTTACTTGTGCAGCCCACTGTCAATGGATTCCCTTGATTGTTTTTGTATTCAGGCAATCTCCCACTGCACGAACATAATTACTTTTAAAACAAATACAGGTGGTAACAAACAACAAAACATAGTCTATTCCAAATATCCAAATACATAAAGTTCGATTTAAAGCTTTCGTTACTGCAGGGATTCATATTTCTTGGTTATTTCGGTAAAGTCACGTAGAAGGGAAACCATCAAATAATAAAAAAAAACATAATAAAATAATTCTCACGACGTTTCGGCCACAACACAAGTAGCCGTCCTCAGGTGAAGACAGGTCTGTCGAGGCAACAGCGTCTAAAAGAAAAAAAAAAGAAAAAAAACGCTGTTGCCTCGACAGACCTGTCTTCACCTGAGGACGGCTGCTTGCGTTGTGGCCAAAACGTCGTGAGAATTATTTTATTATGTTTTATTTTTATTATTTTATTACTTCCCTTCTACGTGACTTCACCGAAAGAACCAAGAATATCCAAATACATAGTTTAGTAATTTAGAATAATATAGTTTTATAATAAAATGTATACATTAGCATGTATTGTTCTTACATTTTTAAGGAGCAAGAAAGTTAATTTGGCCCTTGGCACAGAACATGAATCGTGTGGCAAATAGATTTTGACCCGAGGTCTTTCTGGATCGATTTTTCAAAATGTGCTTCGCATGTCGGGTCATTAGATTATTAAGAGAACAACATAATAATCATTGAGCTGGTAGTGTACACGATTCTCTGTGTGTTTGTTCACTCACCAAAACGCCGACGATGAAATGGGAATCCACCCATAGCTCCAAAAAACATCATGTTCAATAAATCCAGTATGTCCTCCTGAAAAAGGTACATCATACAACGAGACGATAACATTGACTCATCAACCACAACACATTTTTTTAAAAATTTACGATATTAGAGTATAAGTGTTGCATTACACGCATTCACATTCATTTTATCGGTGGCTTACCAAGCTCATGTGAGCCTCCGTTTTCTCCGCAGCAAGGAGTTGGTATGCTCCTGTAGCTTGCTGAAATCTCTGTATTGTACAAAAGGAAATTTAAGTTTTGACAGAGGTTGAACACCTTCGACGAAACGATGTCCATTATTCCACGTTGTGTTCAGCTTTCGCAACTTGTGGGATTGAACAACGTCAATGTCTGTCAAGTGCGTCAGGGGCTTGGCAGCCTGTGATTGTGACACCACAGAGGTCGCACACGGGATTTGATTCGATAATTGTTTTTTTCCCCTTCTATCTGGCAACAAAACTGACACCTTTTTACAAGGATTCCTGTTTGCATAGACCACAATACCTGCAGTCATGATAAAAAAACCACAACTCTGATAATGTATGCACTGTCCTTGAAGTTGATTGGTCCACACCCAAGACAGCTTTCCTTAGAGCCTAGTCTCACAAGGTGTTGGACCAGATGATGCCAAAAGGCGCACAACTCAAAGACAATGCACCATCAGAGTATGAGAGCTCGGGGTAAGCATTTAGACCATTGGAACCTCATTTGCCAGTAAAAATATGATAATTGTTTTTTTTACCCTTCTATCTGGCAACAAAATTGACACCTTTTTACGAGGAGTCATGTTTGCATAGACCACAATACCTGCAGTCATAATGCAAGTAACGTTGGGTTGCTCGGTCAACGGCCTGCAGGGTCAACGGCGGCGTGGTGTATTCCGCAAATATGCCCGACTGTGAGGGCGGGCACAAGCCGGCGTGAGTAGGTGAAACGTTGAGTTTTATAAGGGCACCACGGGGTGACCAGCCCCTCCCCACCCAGCCCCTCCCCTCCCACCCCCACCCAGCCCCACCCTCCCCACCCAGCCCCTCCCCACCCAGCCCCACCCTCCCCACCCAGCCGCTCCCCACCCAGCCCCTCCCCACCCTCCCCTCCCCACCCAGCCCCTCCCCACCCTCCCCACCCAGCCCCTCTCCATCCAGCCCCTCCCTCCCCACCCAGCCCCTCCCCACCCTCCCCTCCCCACCCAGCCCCTCCCCACCCAGCCCCTCCCCACCCAGCCCCTCCCTCCCCACCCAGCCCCTCCCTGCACGACGGACACAATAATCCCCTGTGGGCTGGTGTAACCAGGCGGTCCCTACCAGTATCAATGTACAATGCTCAAAGTGCACAAATATGACAACGATGCTGATATTTAGAACCAGTACAATGCTGTTCAATTGTATTTCACTCAGCATGAGTGAACCATCAGAAAATGTCAAATACTAGCAGCATACGTTCCATCACATTAATATCAAATATACCAAACACTCCTTGCTACTCACAATGGTAGCAGTGTCACTGCTGTGATTATTCTTATCTGAATGCCATTCCAGAGCAAGCTTCTTGTATGCGGATTTAATTTCTGCTTCAGGGGCTCCTGTGCATGACAACTAGCTTCCATTAAACACGTGGCACACAAAACACCGCTCAATTACATACATTGACAGATCCGTATAATGACACATTTGTACATTTCAATTGGATTTTTCTTACGTTGTATTCTTTTTCAAGATCTAATCTATACAACAGCCATAGAGCTCCTTTTCAAAGACGTCCAGAATGCAACAGCAAACAACACGAGTGCAAAGCATTGTACAGGAAATGTAAACAAATCACTTTAAAAATACACAAATACACAAATACAAGCAAACTATTTTTTAAATCCTTTATATTAAGTTCACTCGCTTGCGTGCTTGTGCGCTTACGACCGTGCAAATCTTTCGGTCGTTTTTTAACCCACTTCCCGTGATCCAATCGAGCTGACATTTTGCACACAGACTCGTTGTGCGTGACAATTAATGTTCGTGAAATAAAATTCCAAAATTTTACACTTTTTAGGAAAAAAATATTATATTTAATTACCAATTGCTTAATGGTGCAATGCAATCATCTGACCCATAGGTGGCAGCCATCTCAAGCCAAAGGACGAGAGGACTCTAGCCGCCACGCATATAAAGGATTTATAGTGAAAAACTTTGTTTTTACGGGTTAATTTTTTTGTATCTTACCAGGCATAGACAAACGGAGCTGTTAGCATCTTTGTCAGAAGCCATGTGGCCACAAATGATAGCCAACAAACGTGGCGATTCAACGCAGCAAAACTATCGCAAACAACACAGAGCACACGTACACATCTGGGCAGATGATTATTGACGTGGCGTGACCAACATTTCTATCCCGATCAATGACTCGTCTTCTTGGTGCTTTCGGTAAAGTCATCACGTAGAAGGGAAATAATAAAATAATAAAAATAAAACATAAAATAATTCTCACGACGTTTCGGCCACAAAGCAAGCAGCCGTCCTCAGGTGAAGACCAGGTCTGTCGGGGAGACAGCGTCATTCAGATGCTGTTTGTTCATTAAGACGCTGTCTTTCCGACAGACCTGTTCTTCACCTGAGGACGGCTGCTTGCGTTGTGGCCGAAACGTCGTGAGAATTGTATTTTATGATGTTTTATTATTTTATTATTTCCCTTCTACGTGATGACTTTACCGAAAGAACCAAGAAGATGAATCCCTGCAGTCACGAAAGAAGCTTTAAATCGAGACACATTGATATTTACGCGATCTTACCCCCAAACAAACAAACATGGATATCGGTCACGAAAGGCCGAGTACTGTACGTGTTGGGAGACAAAGGCGGCCGGGCGTGGTGCTGGCCACCCACCCCCCTCGTGTGCCACAGTGCCGGTAGCCTTCATAGGTGCTCGCTAACAGCACTTGCCCCTATAGTCTGACAGGCTACCTGGGGGATCTTTGTCTGTGTGTAGGTTCTGCTACTCGCTACTAACAGCACTTGCCCCTGCAGTCTGCCAAGGCTACCTGGGGGACCATTGTCTGTGTGTCCACGCGACTCACCATAGGGAAGTCCCAGCGCCGTGTAGGCCTCTTGGCGGGTCAAGCTCATGTCGGATACCAACAACAACACAAACAACAACAACACAAACAACAACACAAACAACAACAACACTCACTACCACCACCACTCACACACTCTCTACTATATACTAGTAGTGTACAACAACAACACAAACAACAACACAACACTCACCACAACACAAACAACAACACAACAAACAACACAAACAACAACCACCACCCTCCTCCGACACTAACCACGCCGAGCGCCGCAGGAGCATCACGTGACTCGGAAACGCCGCTCTCTGATTGGTCGCTGGCAAAAGTATCAGAGACGTCCGCTGATTGGTTCAACGCCGACCACGCCCCTCACACCACGCGGCTTCCCATTGGCTGCTTGACAATTAATTAAAGAAGACTTCCGGCCTATTTAATTAATTGGCCGTTTGGCAATAAATTAAACGTTTAATCAATTACTTAATTAATTAAACGGCTAATTATTTATTTAATTAATTGGCGTTTAATTAATTATTTGTGATGGGGGTGGTGGTGAGGGTTGTGGTGGGGGGGGTGGTGGGGGTTGTGGTGGGAGTGGTGGTGGTGGGGGGGTTGTGGGGGTGGTGCGGGGGGTTGTGGTGGGGGTTGTGGGTGGTGAGGGTTGTGGTGAGGGTTGTGGTGGGGGGGGTTGTGGTGGGGGGGGGTTGTGGTGGGGGTTGTGGTGAGGGTTGTGGTGGGGGGGTTGTGGTGGGGGGGTGGTGGGGGTGGTGGGTGTTGTGGTTGTGGTGGTGGGGAGAGCTGACAAACTCCAACTCTACGGGCGTCAGGATCGGGATTCGAACCCACGCCCTGCACACCGTCACGAGCGTTTACATTTGGGAGTGTTGCGAGGGGGTGGTCACCGATCTACGCCACACACACGGACACTCACACAGACACACACACTCACACACTCACTCACACACACGGACACTGTCAGGAGTCCACGCTCGCTGCAGCGCCCTCTCCTGGCCGTGCACGGCACCTCGGCGTCCAAGCGACGAGACTCTCACATCTGTGCGATCAGGCCAAGCCCCGCGCTCGCCACAGCGCTGCGGGGTGACAGGCGCGCGTCACCACGTGGTTGTCGTTGAACTGCAGCATTCAGTGCAAGTCAACTGTGGACCGGTTGTGGTGTACACTTTATACGTAAATATATAAGCACACGACTTCATTTATCTGTGACGAACGCTGCACGTTCCGTCGCTTTCATGCAGGGGGCGCTGCAAACCTACGCGCCCCCTGCATGAACGACGGAGGCGCAGGGCCAGACGTTCGATCGCGTTGGAATCGATCTGCAGACGGCGGTCTTCTGGCACGGCCAACTCTGTGTCGCCTCATCTCCACCCCGCGATTCCAACCAGGTGAAAGTCCGCATCAAACAGAATCCCCGGCAAGGCCATCTACTTCACGACGAGAGAAAATTCACACGAAATGTCGTTTTCAATGAAGTCTTCCAGATGTAAAATAACAAGCTTTTAATGAAGAAATACAATTATCAATTTCAAAACATAATACAATTCAAAGTTGTTTCATTTTAAAACTTCAAAACGGAGCATGGGGAGCTTGTGTGGATGCGTCGCTCGTGTGCAATTCTTTTTGTAACTTTCCAATCAGCAATGACCATTTCTTGTCCTAATTCGACAAAATCTACGTCAACACGTAATACAAAATTATAATTCGTGTTGTAGAGAATGTTCCTCCTTTTCGTGTAACTTTTAAGCGGTATGCCTTGTAACTGATGAATGATCCGAGTGTGCTCGCTATTTCAAAGACAATGAGTTGCTCCAGAGGGAGATTCTTCCTGAAAACACAAAAATACCCTTTGACCTGTATCACAAGCACAATGAGTCTCACCTGAGTTATCTGTACAGGTTACTTGCAAAACACACACTCTGTCCTAACATCACTTATTCAATGTTTGACCCTTATAGACAAAAGGTTACATGTACGCACACCATCAGACAAGTATTCAGTCTAAATTATTGACAGGCATATGAACAAAATTGAATGACTGCACTGAAATATGCTTTATTAGTTTACATCCTATTAACAAGAAGCTAATTTAAACAAGTAAACCCGTAAAAACAAAGTTTTTCACTCTAAATCCTTTATATGCGTGGCGGCTAGAGTCCTCTCGTCCTCTGGCTTGAGATGGCTGCCACCTATGGGTCAGATGATTGTCTGCCACCATTAAGCAATTGGTAATTAAATATTTAATTTGTTTTCCCTAAACAGTGTAAAATTTTGGATTTTTTTTTCACGAAAATTGTCACACAACGAGTCTGCGTGGAAAATGTCAGCTCGATTGGATCACGGGAAGTGGGTTAAAAACGAGCGAAAGATTTGCACGGTCCTAAGCAAGCAAGCGAACTTAATATAAAGGATTTAAAAATATATTCGCCTGTGGAGGATGCGGGGATCAATCCCGCGACCTTTGGCATGGGAAGCGAAGGCGCTACCAACTGCGCTACTCCGCCACGGCCTGTGGAGGGGTTACGCTCTGGGCTCTTACACTCTGACGTTCAGCCAAAGCCATGAATGCGCTCTATTTGAATATATGTAAAATAATTTTTTACCTAAAAAGTGTAAAATTTTGGGAATTTTTTTTCACGACGAGTCTGTGTGGAAAATGTCAGCTCGATTGGATCACAGGAAGTGGGTTAAAAAACGACCGAAAGATTTGCACGGTCCTAAGCAAGCAAGCAAGCACGCAAACTTAATATAAAGGATTTAAAAAATACGCACCGTCTGCTTAACAGTGTATGTACAACATACTAATGCGCCAATCAAAACGAGTCGGCCATTGCATGCTGACATCTGGGTCAAAATGTAGCAAATTCTAAACATTACCTACAAACTCCACAACTGAGATGCCACGTCAACCATCGCCCCCTACTGACAGGCTCTTGTCCACACGCAGGCCGGTGCAGGGCCACCACCTTGTGCCACACAGGGGCAGCTGCCACTTGGGGATGTTTCGAGTGTTTGAGACGAGATACGATGCAAAACTCAGAGTTGCCAGAGGCGATTAAGCAAGCACCATATGAATGCAATTGATGAGAACATAGTGAATGCTTGGGGGCTTGTTGGCTCTCGCTCCTGGTTAGAGATCTACCCAACACACAGGTCCACAAAGACTGGCCGCTCTTACCCTGCAGGTTGAACCTAGGAACTGAGTGTTCAACTTCACATTCTTGTCATTAAAGGCCTGTGACAAAGGTGCATCTATTGGAGCGACATTGTCTCTGGCTTAAACATCTACCGGGTCTCCATTTGACTTCGTGTTGTCTCGGAGGAAGTCCACCCACACCTCCACTTCCACAAACTGCTGGGAGTTGCCTCGCTCTGCCTCAGTCAGAATTCTCCTCCTGCTTCACGTTGCCTCCATCGATGTTAAGGTCCCATTTTGGAGTTGAATCTTCATCTTCACATTTTACCTTCACTTCTTCGCTCTTCACCATCACCTCTTCACATTTCACCATCACTTCTTCACATTTCACCTTCACCTCTTCATATTTCACCTCATTACCTTTAAAAATGTCCAAGCTGGGATTTTCTTCCGGTTCTTGTTTGATGAGGGATGGGCTCATTGCAGCACTTTGACTTTCACAAGCTGATTTCAGACTCCACTCCTGGTGGATCTTCTGATGCTTGTGTGTTCTCTGGTGTTTTTGAAGATGTGCTGACCATGCAAACGCCTTCCCGCACGGAGTGCACCTGAAGGGGTTCTCTCCCGTGTGTGTTCTCTGGTGTTCTACAAGAGTAGATGAAAGTGCAAACGCCTTCCCACACACACTGCACTTGAAGGGTTTCTCTCCCATGTGTGTTCTCTGGTGTTTTACAAGAGCAGATGACTGTGAAAATGCCTTCCCACACACACTGCACTTGAAGGGTTTCTCTCCTATGTGTGTTCTCTGGTGTGCTACAAGAGTAGATGACTGTGAAAATGCCTTCCCACACACACTGCACTTGAAGGGTTTCTCTCCTATGTGTGTTCTCTGGTGTACATGAAAATTTGATGACTGTGCAAACGCCTTCCCGCACAGAGTGCACTTGAAGGGTTTCTCTCCCGTGTGTGTTCTCTGGTGTTTTACAAGAGCAGATGACTGTGCAAACGCCTTCCCACAGACACTGCACTTGAAGGGTTTCTCTCCAGTGTGTGTTCTCTGGTGTGTTACAAGAGTAGATGAATCTGAAAACGTCTTCCCACAGACACTGCACTGGAAGGGTTTCTCTCCCGTGTGAGTTCTCTGGTGTATTACAAGAGCAGATGACTGTGCAAACGCCTTCCCACACACACCGCACTTCAAGGGTTTCTCTCCCGTGTGAGTTCTCTGGTGTATTACAAGAGCAGATGACTGTGCAAACGCCTTCCCACACACACTGCACTTGAAGGGTTTCTCTCCCGTGTGTGTTCTCTTGTGTATTACAAGAGTAGATGAATGTGCAAATGCCTTCCAACACACACCGCACTTGAAGGGTTTCTCTCCCGTGTGTGTTCTCTGGTGTTCTACAAGAGTAGATGAACGTGCAAACGCCTTCCCACACACACCGCACTTGAAGGGTTTCTCTCCTGTGTGAGTTCTCTGGTGCCGTGTCAAATTTGCAGTTAAATCCGTGCTGTATGCACACCGGTCGCATTGATGCCTTTTTGCACCGAGCTGTGCCGAGTGCCTTTGCTCCATCAGACCAATTATGCACAGGAAGCAACAGCTGCAGACAGAAAAAAAGAATATCCACACCATCTACACGTCAGTATCGAGGCACATCGGAATGCATATATACACAGTCACACGTGACTTACACGTCTATACTTATTCATATGTTCATGATGTAGTGAAACAGTTTCCCAAATTCATCACATGGGCTGTTATTGCACACAATGAGAGGGTGAATGGTCATAAATATGCCTGGAAGCCCTCGTATCTTCAAAATGAATGTGAACCCAAAATTCCGAGCATTCAATTTTGGCTGTCTGGCTAAAAAAGAAAAAAGTATAAGAGCTAAATTCGGCTGACACAGCAAAGGGTGTTGAAAACAATCCTATTTGTGTTATGCAGAAATGCGTAAATTAATACTGGTATTAACCTCCTGGTTACACCAGCCCACAGGGGATTGTTGTGTCCGTCGTGAAGGGAGGGGCTGGGTGGGGAGGGTGGAGAGGGGCTGGGTGGTGGGTGGGAGGGGTGGGGCTGGGTGGGGAGGGGCTGGTCACCCCGTGGTGCCCTTATAAAACTCA